GAAGACCCAGAGAAAACCAACGGTAGATGGTTGTCGGTTCAAATTTCTTTATTATTCTGTAATAAATCCAGATTTGGCTTCAGAACCTAAATGAGTTCGACGGCGGGCAGTCTGGGAGGACAGTATATGTGACAGAAACTATTATGGGATGGAGATCCAGAACTGGAGACGATCCCAGTGATTCCAGGAAGAAATCAGTTTCCTGTAAATCAGATTTATCTGCTAAAAACAAACCAAACTTCTTTTCTGAACCATCTCCTCTAAGAACTTCAGGAAAAAAAAACTCTAAGACCTTTTTTACACAGAAAAATATTAAAGCTCTGACAGAGAAATCTTTTTTTTTTTCAGAACCGCATGAGCGCTCGGACCTGGAGAAGACGCATCCGCTGCTCAGGCTCATAGGAACCAACACTTGATTTAAATATTTTATACATCAGCAACGCCACAAAGAGCAGAAATCACACAGGAAGAAGGCTAGAGACTGTCAAAATAAAAGCTGAAGATAAAAGCCGTCAGACGGAGAAAGACGGGGAGTTTTAAAATAAATTCTTGGTCTTGATTACGGAGAACTTAAGAGCTCTGATTGGTTAAAAGGTTCCTGCTGTCACTACCGGTTCTGATCCACGTGGTTCTGCTTTAAAAAAACTCAGCGATCCAACATCTGTCCAGCTGCTCCTCCACTCCCGGTTCCGACTCCGGTCTGCAGCTCATCGCCGACCTTCACCCTCCTCTTCCTCTAGCCTCAGACATTAACCGCTCTAAGCTAATGGAGGATCAGATGCAGCGATGTTCTGGATGCTGAAGAACATCTGGGAGGAAAGGAAGGAAGGAAGGAAGGAAGGAAGCGACGGTTTGGGTCAAGTCAGTCTGTGGAGCTCCGGGAAACGTCACACCCTGATGAGGAAGTCCAGGCCGAGCGAGGCGGGGATGTGCATGGTCTCCAGGTTCAGAGCAGAGGGGGCGTAGGGGAAGAGGACGGGGAAGGTGTGCTTGGTGTCCATCAGGAGCTGGGGAGGGTCGTTCCTCTCCTGGAGGTTACTCTGCAGAAACACAGCAGGAGGAGAAAAGTTAGACAGAGCTGCAATCTGCAGAGCTGCCACTAGAGGGCAGAACTCACGTTCAGCTAATGCAACCGCTTTTGGCATTTACTTAATCACATTTAGTTACGTTAGCACAATAGTTTTATGTCCTACCCTGCTAACACGAAAAAATTTAATTAAAGCAGCTAAATATAATTAAGTAAATGCGGAAAACGGCGGCATCATTTTTTTCAGCTACTTTAAACGAAGCATGAAGCAAGAACAGCTTTATAAGTTTACAGGCATCAGGCCCACAATGATTTCTCTTTAAAAAAAAAAAGAAAATTAGGTAAAAAAGAATAAAATTTTAACATTGTGATATCAAAGTTGTAACTAAATAAATTAGTAAAATCTTGAAATAAAGTCCTGTCATTATGAGATTGAAGTACAAGTATGAGAGATCTTAACAATACAGAAATAAAGTTAAAACACTGTGAAAATAAAGTTGTAAAATTTTGAAAAAATATGAGAATATAATGAGAATAAAATCATATTATCGATAAATTAATTGACATAACATTTCAAATATAATGTTGTAC